CGACCTCGCACTTACATATGCTATACTACCAAACGGCTCGTGCACTTGCGAGTATCACAAGTTGAGGATGCAGCTGAATCCATTTTGGTGCAGCTGTATCGACGCAACAGTTCACATCTGTGTCCTCCATGATGCGGGCGTCGCTAGTTTACCTCATTGTTGTCTCTACGGAGCAGATCTCTTCGATTGTCTTACCTACATGACGTGTTGGTGGACTAAGCTTGCAAGCGACCTTCTGTAGCTTGTCGTCATGAGTTGTCTCCTTGGGATTGAGCAAGTGAGCATCTTTCTTCTCATACTTCATGGAGATTATCGCAAGGCTGATCTCGTCAGGGGCTTAGTCTTGCATAAATGCTTCTCTGCGAGCCCAGGCAGGAGTGAACAACATTGGATCGTGGGCCCCACTTCTCGTGCACATTGATCCTTGGACTTAATCTTGATCGGAGACTCGATCTACTTTGAGCGAGGCTCGGGGATGCTTGCGACATGCCAACGTGCTGAGCACGCTCTTGTCCTTCCCCTTATCTACTTGCTCTTACTCGACCTGCATGGGACCTCTCGAACTGCATACGGGTGTGTTCGTCCATCCTCCTCTCTTTGCCTTGCGGTCTAAGGCCAATGTCTCGAACCAAGTCAATCTGGTTGATGAGTTGTCTAACCAAGTTGTTTTGGTAGTCCACTCTTTGAGCCAGTTGATTAACTCTAAGATTGAGGTCTACATGACTTCATGGATCATGAGGAGAAAATTGTGTAGAGCCCACTTTCACACGGGCTAGGGTTTCGCTAGAGGTGTACATAGGAGCGTATGTCGAGCACGGCAGCATATGAGGGAATGAATGAAGTTGTTCCACAACAGAGCTCAAGTTGGCGGCGGCACCAAGAAGGTCATGAGCGACGATCTCGGGACGGAGCGAGGCGGTGTAGCTATGTGGCTGCGGAGTAGTGGCAACCACGGGACCGTGAGGAGGCGCGAAAGCGCGCGTCAGATAGGTGTTCTGGGTGGCGAGACCGAGTAGAGGAGCGGCGGCGCATATTGCGATTGAGAGGAGGAACGGAAGGCTATGGCGGTAGTTGCGGTGCCGGGAGCCGCGACGTTGTGGTGACCCAAGTTTGTCGCGGATTAGATTTTTGCGGCAGCCTGACTTCTTGTTCACGTGCTTCCAACCATGGTTGTTTGGAAGGTTTCAGTTGGGCGATAAAAAGGAGGAAACAGATTCCTTTGATTCAAGAGCACGCATTAAGTATAACTCGTGCTCTCAATGAAAGCACCAAAATGTTTGAGCAAAATTATGCATTGGAAATATTCGCGAGTTAATTCCTCGACCTTCGATACTAATAATCCTGGTCCAAGCATATACCAAGCACATAACAAATCTTATCTAGCTAAGATCAAGCCACGCTAATCCAGAACAATTCCTAAGCATCGTCCATTCCAAGAAAGTTCATCATTACACAAGAAGCCCAATAGTTTATCCCATATGTATCTATTTCTAGGGAACTGATGTGCTGCTTGGGTCACAAACCACAAAATCAAACCCAAAACCAGCCCAAAGTCCATAGATCCAACCCCTTTGAATATAGAGGGCCCAATCATCAAAGTGAGGAGCATACTTGAAAAGAAATGCTCACGCGCAGAAGGATATGCTCTCTCTCTCTCTCTCTAGAGAAACGAAGAGAAACAAAAACATTTTCTTGTTTTAAATTCTGATAGGTTTCGGCTGAGATTTGTGGGAGGAGTTGAAAAACAAACATGGGAATAAAAAACAGGTAAACCAAATTGACACCCCTCTCATATAATTTGTTAAATATTATATAATAAAAAGTTTTAAGGAAAACATTATAACTATGCAAGAAAATGAGAGGGACCCAATTGCAGAGAAAGGGACAACTGTTAGCCTCAAATCTTCCACCAAATGCCAAATCTCAACCGTTAAAAAACCCACATGGTCCCCTCATTGTGTTGATCGACCCAACATTCATCTCCTCGGTCTTCCCTTCTAGGTGAGAGACATAAAGCTAACAATCAAAAAAGCAAGAAAAATGTCGAAATAAACACAACCCAACAACTAGGAAAAAACTCTCTCTCTCTCTCTCTCTCTCTCTCTCTCTCTTTCTCTCTCAAGGAATCAGAAACCACGTTAAGGTGGGGGTTTAATTGAAGCTCTTTCTCTTTCTTCTTCTTCTTGTTAATTTCTGTTCCATGGAAGGCCAGATTAGAGATGGGAAGAAGGCTGATGGAGCCTTGGAAGGATTTGCTCCTCTCTCTTCCACAAGGATTGATTGGAAACCCAGAAAGAGATCAGGTAGTAAGTATAATATATAGCTCCTCTGTTTCTCTTTCACTCTCTCTCTCTCTCTCTCTCTCTCTATATATATATATATATATATATATTTCTCCAATTGAGAGTCCACCAATTCATTTGAATAATATGAGATTTGTTTTTGGTGATGTTTACATGATTTAAGAGATACCCACCTACCCAATTATGTACGACTTAATAGCTATCATAATTCCTATGGATGTTCTTGAGGCTTATTGCATGGTTTCCCAAAATTTTATTTAACATTTTGAAGCTAAATTCCAGCATAATTCCATCTCCCTCTAAACAATTTTGAGTTGTCAGTAAAGCTTCTATTATAATTAAAGGGATTAAAAAAATAACAGAGAGAGAGAGAGAGAGAGAGAGACGTAAAATTAAACTGCTGTTAGGAGGTGCTGACTTTGCTCATACGTTACTTTGCTGGGGTTGGTTCGCTTAAATTGCTCTCTCTCCTAATTATATGTATTTAATTATATTTCTTCTTTCTTGCTTCTTTTTCTTTTCATTTTTGGCCTATAAATCTTCAGACGGTGACAATTTCTTTTGTTGTTTTCACGCTTTACTCTTGGCCTTTGGTTTTGTTTTTATTTTTTCCTTTTCTTTTAAAGGTCTTGACTTTGAATACACAGCACAGCATATCTAATTTTTTATTTACCCAAAGGTGACCATACTTTTTATTTCATAGAAAAATGCGAACAAATTTGAATGCTACATGTGGTATGGGCTCTATGTCTCATCCAAATTTAATTGATCCTACGGCATTTCATTTCTTGGTTTTCATCCTTTTTTTTTTTTTGGTCAGTTCTAATAATTTTTTCGGCTAGCATCTTCGAATTATTTCACTTGACCAAAAAAAAAAAAAAAAAACTGATTGCGTTAAGTATTTCCATTATTGTGCTAATTTTTGTTTTTGGGTACTGCTCATAATTTGGCACTAGGTTTCAAGTTCCCAATTCTTTGGAAACGAAAATGAAAATCTGTAGAAGTTCTTCTGTTAACACTTGTTCATGATGTGACGCTTTACCAACCTTGCTCATTATTATAATATAAACTTTTTTGGTTGTCTTCTTTTCTTGTTTTCCCTGTTTTTCTTTTTCAAGTGTCTTGTTGGTTGGGATGCATGATTGCTTGAAGTGTGATTTCCTCCTGTGGCTGGGGAAGAGGAAAACCCCTTTCTCCTGTTCCTGTTCCCTGTTTTACGCAACCTTTTTTACTTGTAAGGTTCTATTGGATTTTCTTTTTTATCTGCTACATTATATCCTCCCCCTGTCGATCAAATCATCCATTTCAGTTTCCAATTTGAAGTCTTTGCAACACAGATTTTGTATTATCTTCTAGGTTCATCTTTGATTTAGCTGTTAATTAATCGCCTTTTGGCCGAGCACCTTATTTATTTTAAGAAGGATGGAAGGAAGTCGAGTCCCAGCATTTGTATGTTGACCGCAATCCCAATTTAATTGAAATAGTCCAGTTTAGTTCGAGCCACCAAACGGGGCCAAATTAAGAATATGCCAAGTGTCAGATTTCATCTGTCTCTTTAACTGCATTTCTTCCATCATCATTTTACTGAACTGAAGGACATGGCTGCAATTATGCATGGTATGCATGTATTCTATACTTACTCAATTTTGTGGAGTGAAATGGCTGGTGCTATTCTACTCCACATATCAGTCAGTGCCTTCTCATATCCATTGTGGTTTGAACTTTTGGTGCCTCCTTATTATACAAATCTGCTACATCTATCTCTAAATTCAATAGCACTAGAAAGTGAACTTGTTTCCCACAGCTAGCGGGAGGAATGTAGACAAGCTAACAGAAGATACTGCTAATAATACTCCCAACAAACAGGAAGAGCCCGTCACTGAGGAGGAGATGCAGGACTTAGCCGCAGCTCCTGAGCTTTCTGAACGTCGAAAGGCTCTTTTTGAACCCTTAGAACCTATAACAAATATCAACGGGAAGCGACCGTCGGCTGAATCCTTACTTCCTCCGCCGGACTTTGATGCCACAACCTATCCTAAGGGGTGGCTGATTGGAAAAAAGCGAAAGCTAGTTAATGTTGACGTGGTTGAGAGTATGCGGAGGATCGCTGTGCAGGAAATGAACAGAAAGGTGTAATTTCTAAACACCTCACCTTTTTCTCCTCTATTAGAAAAATGAAAAATGAAAAAAAGAATGGTTGCAATAAATTAAGCTTCTATTTTGGTTTTCTCTTCAGGATAGGGAAATTGATGGGCTAAATGAGCAATTGGAAGAGGATGCAAGGTGCCTAGAACACTTGCAACTTCAGCTCCTGCAAGAGCGAAGCAAACGGTCGGAGGTGGAGAGAGAAAATGCAATGCTGCAAGACCAGGTCACCATGCTAATGAACATGCTGGGAGAAGATGACCCCGTGGATGATGAAGGCCCCGACGCACCATAATTGCTTCTTTTTTTGGTTTCTTTAATTCTTTTTGTACATTTGGTTGGAGAGTAGAAATAAGAGATGCAAATATATAATATGCAGTGCCAATGCTGTGCACATGCTTATTATAAAATTGTGTCTTGCAAAAGTCATATACCAAAGTAAATATTGAAACTTTATGTATCTTGGATAGTTTAGTCTTTACTGTCAAAGAATCAACGACATTTCATTCTATAAACGGTTTGAAGTATTTTGGTTTGCAGTCTCAAGGAGCAGCATGGCAAGCTGGTTAATAATATCAAATCAACCCATGAGCACAACAGAGACAAGACTAAAAGAGTGTTCACAAAAACTCACATTGCTATAAAAGAACACTTGATCATTATACACAAAGGTTGAACAAAACGCAGAGAGACTCAGTTTGCAAGAACCAGGTCTACGTTATCAACATATTAGGATTCTTCATCAACATACATTTCTGAATCCCTAAGCTGTACACGTTTTAGGAACAACCTGCAACTGTTGTATTCACAGATGTGAAAACCGACATAGATTTCTATGTTTTTGTACAAGATCATGCGAGGGCCGTAGAGACTACTCTCTAGCTTGATTAAATATCATAAACTTATGACCAGTTAAAAAGAAACTGAGGAAGAGATGCTATCCTAGGAATATTTAGAAGAAGCTCCCCAAATGAGTCCCTTCTTGGCATTGTCAGTTCCTGCTTATTGTCATCATCATTCGGAACGGCACTGGACTTACCTTCATCGGACTCATCCTTAGGTGCAGGAAAACCATCTGAAACCTTACTCTCATAAGCTGATGCAGAAGCAGAGTTAGTTTCAGCTGTCTTCCCATCATCATTTACATCAAAGCGGTCATCAGTTTTGGCTTGCAAGTTTAGTGTCGTAGAAGGATCCTTCTGCAAAAGGCAATAAAGGGAATTGACCCTTGACATGACGTATTGCTCATCTGAGGGTAAGGTGAGTTGCGCGTCATTGAACAAGTATTGAGTAATCTCCTCCAAAACATCTCTGCTAGGTTGCTCCTTGCCAGATATCTTTCCAAAAATGCATTGTCCAATGTGGCTTACGAAATCACTCATTGACATCGACATGGGAAGTCCAGGAACTTTCATTTGATTAAAATTGCTGGGCGTCTTTGAGGTTTCAGCTCCAAAGCTCCCAATTTTATCAATTGCAGGGGTGTCCATCACTACAAATACAAGACAATTTAGACCCACAACAAATGCGATGCAGTGCCCGTACCAAACTCAATTGTAAAACTTCCGCATCATAAAATATGGAGTAAATATTCATAGAATAAGGATAAACAGGTTTATGTGACATGGTGGAACTGATAAACCAGATACAAGAAGGCCACATGCTTAAGTTGAGCAAACATTGACGACATTCATCTGACACCAATTCCGATAGATTAAGAGGTCGTAGCAAATTGTCCCACTAGCTATGGTCTCACATTTGTGGCAGACTTTATATCACATACATCAAACTTTGCCAAAAAAAATAAAAATAAAAAAGAAAAAGAAAAAACAATCACGTCATGAAAGACAGCTCTTTTTGATATGACGGTTACTCACATGATTCCTCTAAAAAATAAGTGCAAAGGGGAGTTCTATTCACACCCCACCAAATGCTGACTAGACGTAGTCGGCATGATAGGAGAATATTTGCAAGTATTATGTTCAGTATGATTTAGATTTGAGTCCGTTAAATAATGCTTTTCATTTTATGATCTCAAGTGCAAGTTTTAAGTCCTGATCCATCTTAACCTTAGCACCAGAGGCCTGCTGTAGATGAGGCTTATCAAACCAAAGGGACACGGATAAATGGACTTCATTCACAAATAATTTTAAGTTTCTGACTAATTGTTTCAAATTTGACCCACAAAATAATTTCTAGTGTTAAGGAATCAGTAAGTGATTCTATAACTGTTCAAGTTATTTACACAATGACTATTGACTGCTTCTGACTCAATATTTTGACAAAACAAGAAAACAGAACCAAATTACATGGGAATGAAATCTTGAGCCCAAAAAAATAAGATGAAAATCACAAGTCATGGGAGATTGGGACATGGGATTAATTGTGGATGAACAGTCCGTTCAACAAGGGGCTTCTGAAATTTCGGAGGTGTGCAAATTTTTTTAGCATAGAAATTTAGCAACTTCCTAATAATATAAATGAAGGCTTCAATTGTTATATCAACGAGCTTTGACAATAAAGAAAGATGATGCATGGTTAACTATTTATGACCATATCTACACAGTTTTATCATTTGCAGATTTACCTGAGCTAGGAGAAGAAATTTCCTGGGAATAATTTTCAGGACCTCTACCAATAAAATCTTGTTCATCTTTACACGGTGGCGAGTGAGTTCCAGAAGGTGATGCTGAATCCTGCAAACCAAATATAGCAGGCCCCTCCTCATTTTTGGGACCAAACCGACGTCCATATTCATCAGGGTCACCTGATACTGTAACTCTAGCATCAAAAAATGGAGATTCTAATACAATTTCTGGCTGTTGGCTTAAGAAGTTGAGACGAGGATCACATTGAATAAGCTTTTCAAAATGCTTGCCAAAAAGCAAGCCTTGTGGGCACTGCAGAAAATGGCGCCTAAAACAACACAAAGGGAAAAATTACATTACAGATTTGAACATAGACAATACCAATTAGAAACATTAGGCATAATAAGTTACAAACTACCCGATCAACCTTGTAAAACTTCAAGTCTTACAAAAGCATTTATAAGGATTGCTTGAACCATAATTTCTAGAACTACTCTGTTTTTTTTGTGGCATATGATGTGCATCTTTGTATGTTCCTTATATTCCAATCATTTAAAGCCCCCGAAAATTCAACAGATATATGTTTCGATATCTTCTATAAAGGTAATAAAATATATTTTCTAACAGTTGATTGCTAACGAGAAACCTCTTACTACTTGAGCAAGTAAAATACAATCCCCGACTTTAGCTTGTGCAGTTATTAAGCACATACGCATGTGTTCCAAATTTTACAAGTGGGGGAGACAGACAGGTAAACCAGTGGAATTGCTGAGATAGTGCTGTTCTAAAATATATCGTAATGGGGAAAATGATATCTAGCATGTTGCACTATGGAAAGATATGACTGAGGAGATTATTTGTGTGATATAATTGTTTTGTACTTTAAATGAATTTTGACCTCATCATTCTAGTTGGCCAACCAAAGATCTTACCTTGCTTATAAGCTTCTCAAATTCTTTTAACAGTTGTCATAACTATAGTAACTACCCCACACCACTGATGTTTTTCTATAAACTGGAAACATTGCAACAAAGATTCATGCTCAAAGCCATTTATAAATTTCAGTAAGTCTATGAATGACTACAAGGTTAGATATTTAACCTGTTTAAAGTGGCCTGTCCAGCAGTAAAATCTGATGTTGCCTGCCACAAGGTATGTTTTCGAGGTTGTGGATTGGTCTCTCTAAAGAAAAGAGGCGGTCTAGCAAGCTGCACCAGAAAATAATATTAATCTATCTTAAGAAACCATAGCATTCGACCAAAAAAAAAGCATAGCATATAATGATTTTGAAATACTGTAATTCCTTTATAGAAAAAAAATTACACAAAAATATGTAAACAATATATTACCACAACATCCAAAGTCCCTGGTCCATCATCTGGGTAATTTGCCTTGAGAGCCACAACATCTGACCACTGAATTTCCATCTTGTTCTTTAGACTACCGTCAAGGACTTCCCACACAAGTTTATGCTTTGCAAAATAACACTTTGCCACTAGATCTCCTTCATATCTTGACTTATACTGCAACCCCAAAATCAATAAAACTTCAAATCAACATCAAAGCATATAGCATCAAATAAAACTGTCCAGTTTGGAAAACAAGAGTCCATAGAAAATTGTGGGTTATACCTCCCAAGTCCCAATCCTTAGAAAGGAAGCCGGGAAATTCATAGCCTTGAGCTTATCCGAAGCACCGGAAGCGGTAGTTCCCTTGTGACCTCTCTTGCCTAGAGTAGCCAATTTAACAGAGTTTTCTTCAGATAGCTTCATTTGGATCAAATCCAAAAAAGATGGACTTTTTTTTAGATGCAAACCGAGCGGGCTCGGTTCATCCAGGGGATGGTACAGCGAAGGAGGAACTTCAAACTTGCCAGGCCCCAAACCCAACTGCTAAGACCACCCAAACATTATGAGCAGAATTAGCTATAAAACATGAAAAAATATCTCTTCTTTCTGAAAACGACTGCCCAATCTGTTTGGTTGCTAAGAAAGTGCAGGAAATGCATATAATTCAATTCATGCTAATGGATATCACAAAATATTGACGAAATCAAACTATCATAAACCATAAACAGAGTATCAATTGAAAAACCACATAACATGAAATCAAAAACTGAAAAGAGATGAACATGAACCTGTGGAACCGAGTCGAGTTTGAGCCGCTTGTGAATTCGACCGAGTTGGGTGTCGAACGACTCATCGGCATCCAACTTCACCGCAACCTTTCGCGGACTCATTAGCTGAACCATCGGCTCTAGCTTCCAACCCAATCGACAAATTTGCAGAGCGAGTCAAACAAGACGAACCAAAAAAAAGTCACCGAGTGAACTCAGCGATTTTCGCAGCCTGAAATGTTTCCAAAAATTTGCGTCAACGAAACAAACCCGTTCGGCTGTCTTTCCTTTCCTTTTAACGCAGAGAAGAAAGAAGCCTGTGGAAGGCCATCACGTGCGTTCCACGTGACTTCAAGAATCGCAACGTGCACGAACAGAAGTAAATTAGACCAGAAGTTACGTAAATACCCTTAATATCAGGCGGTGACTGTACACTGGGAGGCGGCCGAAGGCGGCTGATGGCGTCAGCTGATTTGGCGGTTTTTGGTCTGGGAACGAGGTCACGTGCGCGCAGGTGCGCGGGTTTGGATAAAATAGTGGGGCCCGCGTCGCGAAGCTTCCCAACTAGGCGCGCGGTTATGCCTGGTGATTGGCTGGGTGGTGATGAGTAAGTCGAACGTTTTGACACGTAAGTATTTGAGTCGAGGGGGAGTCTGCCGACGTGTCCTTGTGGATAAGCTTCAATTCTTGTTTGTCAAACTTTCCGTTTCCTTTTTATTTTTTTTGTTTGTTTTTCTTTTTCGGCAAATAGATAATATAATAAATGGGATATTGA